ATGTTATATGGCCCCGGTTCTGCACAGTATATATGTGACTGTACGAAAATGAAAATGGAAAATAAAAACACATTTACATTCAAAGCTTTAAACATCTTATGACCGGCTTGCCTAAGGAACCATCTACTTGCATACGGCTTACTAATAATAAACAGTTAAACAGCTACTCTGTCAGAGGAACCACCTCTCCCATTATGAATCTACTACCATAATACATACACTGAACCTTGGTGGTGCAGTGGTTAGAATGTAATATTGCAGGCTAATTTTGCCAATTGCCAGCAATTCGATCCTCACCGGCTCAAGTTTGACTCAGCCTTTCCGCTTTCCATCCTTACGAGGTTGGTAAAATGAGGACCCAGATTGTTGGGGGCAATATGCTGACTCTGTAAACCGCTTAAGAGAGGGCCGTAAAGCACTATGGAGCGGTAATATAAGTCTAAGTGCTATTGCTAAGTGCTATGAATCAACCAACTGCAATCAGAAGCCCCTGGTGCAGACATTTCATTACCAAACTATGTAACATCATCAATGTGCTCATATTACCTAGTTTAGTAATGAAATGTCTGCATGAAAACCACCCAGCTCAGAGAGCACCAAGGACTCCATCGTTCAATCTTCAGCTATAAATATTCTATCGGTATCAACTGCAGTGTTTAGAGTATCAGGGCAGGCCTTTTTGATGGAATGTCTGTCGGAAGCTTTGCGATCTAGTATGCAAAAATGTCCTTATCCTAGTTTGCTTCTAGCTAATGGCATGGTCTCAAGAACATTACCCCAGGATTCGGGAAAGTGAGCAAAAAGATTCCTGTTTCATCAAGCTTTTAACTGTTAAATTGATTTTATAAATGGTCCTCATTTAACAAACACTTGTTCAATGCCCGTCAAATACCCTGTTTCACTGAAAACAAGTCCTATCCTGAAAATAAGCCCTAGCATGTTTTACATGTGCACCTAATATAAACCCTATCTCCAAAATAAGCCCTACTTAAGAGCCAGCACAGCCAGCGCCCACCCATTCTGTCTGGTTGGACATACAATGGCCATGTGCAGCAGGAGCCTATGTGGCCGCCGGCCCACTTCTTCCACTTGGGAGGCAGGTGTTGGGGCGTGGATGGCCTGGCTGCAAGGGCCGTGAGGTAAGCCGGGGTGGGACACATGAGGTAGCTCCATCCCCCCACCTCGCTTCGTGGCTGTGGCACCAGCAGCTTCAGCATGTGGCTCGGCCTCCTCCTCTGTTGAGGCCAGGAGGAAGAAGTGGGCCAACAGCCATGGGGAATCCTACTGGAGTGGCCGCCATGAAGTGAGGCAAATGTCGGGGCATGGGTGGCCTAGCTGCAGGGGCCCTGAGATAAGCTGGTGTGAGGGGCATGGGGCATCTCCAGCCCCCAACTTGTGGCAGTGGCACTGGCATGCCGCACAGCCTCCTGTCCTGTTACAAGCAATCAGAAGAAGTGAGCCTCCTGTACTTGGATAAGAATAAGACACCCCAAAAAACAAGCCCTATTGCTTATTTTGGGGCCCAAAACAAAATAAGACTTGGTCTTATTTTCGGGGAAACACGGGTATATGACAGCACTGAATGAATGATAGTTATGACGGGATGTCATACTTATAATTATTGCAGTTACACAATTGTTATCAAGGTGCTTGGCACCTGGCTTTCAATTATAACATTGAAGTTCCTGAGTCATATAATTGCAATCTGCAACATTCCCTGATAGCTCTTCACAAGCAAAGTCAAAGGGGAAGCTGTCAGGAAGACGGGGGGTCATATGAGGTCCTCATTTAACAACCCACATGGTCCTCGACCAAAGTTACCCAGGCAGCTTTCATGTAACTAAGGAAAGCCTAGAACTCCTGCTGCGTTCTAGGCCAGCTCTTTAACCACAATAATTTTAATATGTTTCATTGGTTTAATGCTTGTATACTGTGTAGCATAGTGGTGTGTGTGTGTGTATCTCTGTGTGTGTAAAATAAGATTATTTATAAGCAGAAAGGCAGGTATAAATTTAATCATCACATTTTTGAAGGGCTTGCTGGGCAAGAAAAACACTTAGGGAAAAACTCCTACATCAAGTTGCAGAAATAAAGAATGTAATTGGTACACACACTGACTGAAAATTGAATGTTGTTTCCAGACAGTTTAGTTAAGATTTAGCTAAGAATGCAATGAGTAATAAACCAAGAATTAAAAGAAAAAGAATTGCAAAAGGACCTTGCAACTGTCATGCCATTGGCTGCCAAAACCACATGGACCCACCAGGTTTTCCTACACCTGCAGTCATGAGCTGTGAATACATGCTCAAACACTAAGTAAGTGAAAAGTGAATATTGTTCTGTTTTTCATGTGGCCTGCTAAGATGCCCCCCCACCGAGCATCTGGGCGAGGAAATTAAGCAACCTCTGTTAATTGATTGTTTTCAGGTTTATTTTCTTGTACTTTTTTCAACATTGGGCATTTGTTATCTGGACTCCTGGTTTAATTTTATGGTTTTAATTGTTGTATATTGCCCAGTAATTGCTATGAGAGAGTTGTCCGTTTCTAAAAAATAAATAAATAGATAAGCAAGCAAACTCTGGTTTCTTTCTATAAGAACAAGGTGAAAGAAGTGTTCAGTTTACACCAGTTCTTCCCAAAATCGTTTTTAAAGTAACAATTATAAATCCATTATCTAAACATAACGAAGACATTCTGATAAATGATAAGCGGATTTGGGTAATGAAGGGGAAAAGTTGGGAAGTAATGGCTTACACACTCTTATCAATCCAGCAAGACCCTGAGAAACTCCAAGGATTGTGTTTTTACTTTTACTTTTACTTAATTATATTTTATATATTGTTTGCATGATGGTTGGTTTGAATAAGTTGGTTTCAGAACTTACAGTCCTTTCCTTTATGCTATATGAGCAACTTAACAATTGGATTACAACACTGCAGAGAAAGGTTGATGATGCAATGAAGATACTATAATTCATCAATGAAGAGATGACCTCTAATCAAGAAGTTTTTTCCGGATAATGTATGANCAGGGAGTGACCCGAACAATCTGAGAACATGTATGTTATTTTCCACTTTTAACGTCAATACTTTTTAATTATATCTTAATGTCGGTGCTTTTTAACATATTGTAAAAACTAATGTGTATTGCTGGTCTTTAACCGTAATAAAAATTTACTTACTTACTTGAACTGTATTAGGTAAACAGGTCTGCTACACAGTAGGTAATTTAAGACTCTATGCTATAGGAGTAGATTTTGTAAGATATTTTTAGGCCACCGTTATTATTTTTATAATACGTAATTCAAAACGGTGAACAAATCTACTTCCTCCTTCTTCTGACCTCACCAAACGGTGAGATGAGTTTGGTTGAGAGATAGTGATTAACCCAAAATCACCCATTTGGTTTTTCAAGCCTAAGGCAGGACTAGAACTTACAGATTCCTGGTTTCTAGCCTGGAGCCTTTAAGCACTATAGCAAACTGGCTGTTTTTCCTGTCATGGTTCTTTCTTTTTAGAAGACTAAAGAATTCTTCAGTATTTTTAACAGTAAGAAATCCATGTTTGACCCGGAGTGTATACTTAAGAGACTGCCATGTTCAATCATAATTCCTTAATGTCTCAAAGTTTGGGATCCAGATCTGCCCATTAATCCTGAAAAGGCAGAATCTGAAACATAACCAGAAGGTAAGACTGGATCAACTTAGTTGCAAGATCTATATTTTATTCTTGTGCATTTTTGTGCTTGCTGCTGCATTTGGAGCCCTGATAAGTGGCACATTTTATCACAGGCCAAAAGTACTTGTTATCAAACATGCAATATATGTAATATATTGTATTACACTGGCTTAACTTAAGCATATAAAATATGAAGCGGTTCTATCGTCAGCAATGACCGGGATATACAAATAATCTTCCAAGAAGTCAATATTACATTATTAATTTTACTTTTTACATACCTAGAGCAGTTAACAATCTCAATGCTTGACCCTTCACACTGGCGGCCCCCACATTTTGGAACTGGATTGTCACATAGGCGTGTTCTACAGAGGCAAATGCCTACACTTGATCCATCTACGTGTGTACAAGGCTTCCATTCTGACCAGGATCCAAAATGGCCATCCACAGTCAAATTCCTCTTCTGGAAACCAAAGGAGAAAAGAATAAATTCCAGTGGTCACATTTAAAGTAAAAGATAATCCACTATATGTTACAGGTCCTACTTGCCTCACTGATCAAGATCTGGCCACTTCTGTTGGACAGACACAGCCTTGTCACAATACTCTTAAGATGTGCAGGGGAGAAAGATAAAACATGTACAAACACCTGTACTATCAGCTTGTTCTAATTACGCATTAGCTCAAACTAATTTCAAATTGGTATTGCTAGTTTATAAAGCTTTCTTTTTTTTAATTTCCTTTGTCTTAATATATTTTAGACTGTGTTTGTTAAAAATCTACACCGTGTACGGGCTCTGGGAAGTCGGGGGGGGGGAAGGGAGGTGGGGTCTTAG